CTCAGTAGCTTACATCTGAAAATCTGAGTAATAGAATTTTCCAATTATTTGTTGAGAATTTAGGCCATAAATAACAATTTAAATAAAAACTTAGGCGAGATTTTCAGTTGAGAGTGCGAGGTATGGAATTTCATTTTAGTACTTAAGAAAACAGTTATAATCGATAAAATTTGAGGCTTACTAGGCATGTAGTCTAAAAAGAGCTCAATATGGAATCGCGGTTGTGTCAACACAGACAACCAAACTTGGTAGTTTGTATCGCAAAATATGCATGCACATAAGACTGCTTATTACGATGCTTTCTTATGTTATCATTTGTAGAAACTACAATATGCCGCTGTTTTATAAAGATTTGCTGAATTGATTTGGTTCTTAAATATTTTAAACATGACATAGTAAGCCCAATATACATTAAACATTTGTACAGCATTTGAACGAAAAAAGGATTTCATTAGTTTCAATCTACATATAATCCGAATCTCACCCTTTTATATTTTGAAGATTTGCTAAATTGCAGACTCGATTTCATAGTATACAATATTTTAATTGATATGGATTTGAAACTAACTTATAGTACGCTACAAATGAATTAAATTAATCAAATGTTTTTCAGTCTACTGCAGAAATGCAATACCAAGTCTTATGTCATACGTCTTATGTCTACACAACTCCTAAATCCTTAAAGACGACTATTTCTACCTCGTCTTAATTCTAAAGAAAAAAAAAAAAAAAAAAGACAGAACGCAACCTCCGCAACTGCGACAAAATCAGAGCAAATGTTCAGATTACATAGTGTATACAAAGTAACACGCGCCTATAAGCTTTGGTTTAAGGCCTCTATTTCAATATTCTCCAAGCAACTGCGGCAAGAGAAGCTAAACCCATTGAGCAATTCAAGTAGCAGAGAGATCCAGCAGACTGACCCTTCAGCGATAGTTACCAAAGTTTTCTCTAAAACGCAAGGTATGGTTTGATTTTTTCATTATTGCAAAGCATGTGAAGGCTACCTGTCCAAAGGAAAAACCATGAAAACGTCCATGCAACCAACCCTTTCTCCAGGATTTGAATCCTGATCGAACTATCAGTGTTCAGCGACTTTACCGTCCAGCCACTGGTGAGCCGTCAAAAAGTCGGAGCTTAAATGCTAATTTCATTCAGATGAGAACTGAAAAAAGCAGAAGTGAGAATCAAGTCAATAACTGACTGATTTAACGTAAAATTCTGCAATGTACATGACTTTTATAATTTTGATAAGAATAAATTTTAAAAATAGCCAAGATTGCGTCAATTGCGCTATTAAAATATAATAAATATCAAAGCTGTGAAAACATATTTATATATTTCATTTTCGATTTCATTTTAAATAGCTTAGCTAGTAGAAATGCGACAACAATGCGCCAACTTAATTGACTCTTGCCCTTCACTATTTATAATTCTTAGTTAGGATCTAGCACTATTTTTTTATTACTACCAAAATCTGAAATATATTGAGTGTGGTCAATTTAAAAGCAATTTGATATGGATTTATATTCTTTCACATAAGAGAGAAATAAACTAATAGCATTTGATATCTGCTTACAGTTAATATGTGCTTTTTCCAAACAACTTTGCTCCAAAATATTATGATTTAATTACGCTTCAAATACTAATTTCGAAAAATGCTTTCCTTCTCATCAGCTTCATTTAAATAAGTGCTTAACAGCTCATTTGTTAATACATTTTGACTTTATGCCATTTTCCAGCCCTTTTTATCTGCCAAAAGCTATTCAAATTTAATCATGAAGTTTTGTATTTACATAACACTTTTATCCCTTTGATTTCTGTAACAATTTATTGTTTGCTTTCAAAAGATTCGTAAGAGTAATTTACAAATCATTAAAGAAAATAGATGAGAACATGTTTTACTTACCTTTTTAAGCCATTAAAGGAAAGAAAAATATTTTTAATACCAAGTTCAAATATTTAAAGTGAAACATATCTGATGAACGTATATTGCTGCTACGAACGATACTTCAGAATAAAGCACACAGTTATATCAAAACAGTTTGAGCATTATTAAAGAGAGAATTCTGTAGGTATGGAATCTAATTTCTTATATAAGTAAGTAGAACAAAACCTCTAAATGGCAAAGCATCTATAATCCTTTTAGATAAATACAAAGCTTTCTTAAATACAAAGATAAGATTTTAGATCAATACAAAGTTATATACAAAGAACTCTGTAACGAGAACAATTCGCAAAATTGCAAGAAAGTGATATTTTCAAATGGACAACTACAATTATATAACGTTTAACCAAACACAAAATCAATGATAATTAAAGCAAGAAGCTTTTATTTTTTTAGTTACTGCTTAGGTATGGTAGAAAAATCTGAAATTCTGCTTGGTAAAGCACTAAAGTTATCTATTCAGTAAATTTGTTCTCGAATATCTCGGCGAATTTTACACATCAATAAATGCCGATATTTGCATTGAACTTTAAGGGTCCTGAGAGTTATAAGCATTTAAAATAGTACAGAATTTCTGATCAACGGAAAGTAGACTTCTTTCATTTTCCCTATCGAAGCCGCTTTCAAAAATTCTTCTCCGGATTTTGAAGCAGCATTATTATTGAAAATAACATTTCCAAGATTAATGTTAAAAGAATTAAAGCAAACAACCACATTTTTCAAATACCCTGAGTGTAGAACCTGTTCAAAGAATTTTACATATATTCTGTACCATTTTGGAGTTTTATATTGCTTAAATTAAAAACTTGCTTATTATCACTTATAAATTATTTTAAATTCTAGTTATATTATATGTGACTATATATTATACTACAATGTGACGGCAAAGAAATAAGGAAAAAGTAATTGAATGTATTCATTAAAAAGCAAAAGAACGAACATCTTTAACTCTGTACGGTTGTGAACAATAGAAGGACGTGATTTCAGTTTAAAGGTATTCCAAAGAGATTTAATAAAATAGGGATAAAATGCGCAATAAAATTAAACTCCACAGCAACGGTTCTCAACCTTTTGACTAACGCGTGCTATCTAAACAAAAAAATTGAAAGCCTTTAGTACCACCACTACTACCAACACCCTTCTTGAACAAAGCTGAGATAGCATAAATTTACGATTGTTAGGGAAAAAACTCAATCAGGATGTTGGGGTTTTAATTTTTGAATTTAATAATTACTTTGCTTTTTTTTTTTTTTTTTTGCATACCACTTATTTTTCTCTTGCGTACAACCGGTTGAGAACCCCTGCTCTACAGTATCAAAGTAACGGATGCAATATTTTTTTTAACTCTATTCATGTTATCGGCAATAATAAACTTTAGATCCTTAGAAATCATTTTTAATAACTTGTAAAAAACCCTTTTGCGGGGAAAACTTTCTTTTCATACGAAATTTATGCATTAGATTAATTTAAAACACAATTTTAAATTTGGAAAAGTTGAATTCAGTAACTGAAATAAATGGCAAGAAGTTGACTGATTAATTTATCTTGCGTGTGCACGGGTGTAAAACCATTTAAATACTGCTGTCTGCTATTCTGTAAGCACAACACACTCAATTTACAATAAATCCTTAACTAAATTTTCACCTTTATGTTATTCTTTTATAATACCACTTTTGTTCTTATTTGCTATTTTTAAAGCAAATCTTATCTATTTTTTAATTATAATTGTTTTAAAAATAAATTTTTAGTATTTCTCTTCGTATTTACAGTATAAAACATTGAAAAATTAATGCATCTGCCTATAATGCTTTAATTTCGAGTACAGATATTCCGCATGATTGTTAGGAACGGAGAATCGATTTACAAAGTGTTTATTTAACTTTTGCGCATTCCTTTTCTTTGACCCTCGACTCGTAAGACCGTGCCAAAGTCCAAGTGTAAATGCCTCTTTTCAAGGACAGATACAAGTCTTTGACTTTGATTGATGCCATGCAAAATGAAAGTGGCAAAATATCTATTATAACTGTAAATGAATGGAATGACGATAAAACAAAGGATAGGGTAATTTCTTTAGTCATTTTATACCGTTCCTATATGGGAATCTTTTACTTCGAAAGGACGAACTTCTCAGCATGATAGCTTTCAGCTCATATATTGCAAAATAAGGATTGTTCATACGAAAAAATAATAAATGTAAGAAAGGATATACAGAGCCTTTAAGTATCATCAATTCCTTTAAAACAATGGAAAAGGTTAATAGAGAAAACTAATGCTTATAAAAAGTCATAACGATCGAGACAATAGTTTATAACGGAAAAAGCGTGCTGAAATGTTGAAACATTTCCCTTGCTTTACAAAAACCATTGTTTTTCCCTTGCTTTAAAGTTTTTTTTTTTTTGTATTTTATACAATACCCCTTTATATTAAAGATGCTGAAGAACGTTAAATTTACATATGGTATCGTTTTATATTTTTCTTTTGGGATGCTAATTAAAAGAACGTATAAATTATTTCTCCTCTCATCAGAAGGAGCATATTTAGAATTTTAAAAATTGATTCTGCGTTTTTCAGTTTTTATTTCCTTGCATAATTTTTTTTTACCTATTTGAGTAAATAAATATGTTACGTGATATGTAATTCAATAATTTAACATTTAAAAATATCTTCACAATTTTATATGACTTGTAAGGACCGAGACAATGAAGTAACTTTGAGGAAATATAGTATTTCCATAAGCTAATTCTAAAGTCTCTGATATGCATACATTTAAACTTTAAACACGCTACTAAGGAGCTGAATATGTAATCCTCCATCAAAGCTTTGAACAATCACATGCTATAATAAACACGAATTCTTTATGTAAGAAGAAAGAAGCATTGCTCAGATTGAATAGAAAAAAAATAGGTGAAAAATTTCAGAAAAAATAGGTGGAAAGAATAATAGTAGGATAGAAAAAATAGGTGGAAAGAATAATAGTAGGATAGAAAAAATAGGTGGAAAATTTTTCAGAAACATTTAAAGTTAATAAGTTAAATGTTCAAAAGCCACTCACTTAAAGTTTGTAACTCAGTCCTTTCAAACGTAACCCATCAGTTCTACCTTTTAGGCCGCGTTCCCGAGCAGATCTGAAAATACAGAATGGCAGACATTTTGTTTATATCGTCAGTTTTATACTATTTAATGGATGTTCGATCGAGTTTTCAAGTTTCATTATTAAAAAAGTACTGAATTCTTTATAAAAAGTACATTTTCATTTACAGTTCAAAGTACCTTTTCATTCACAGCTCAAAGTACCTTTTCATTTACAGCTCAAAGTACCTTTTCATTTACAGCTCAAAGTACCTTTTCATTTACAGCTCAAAGTACCTTTTCATTTACAGCTATGCAGTTTGGGCTATGTTTAAAAGAAAATAATTCAAAATAATTGTCACCTTTCTGTTCACGTTGGACTACAAGCAACATTTTGCTCATGTTTAAGTAACTTTAATGTTACAAGGCATTTAAACATTGTTGCTCTCTAGCATCATCAGCCGTCTGGATTTTAATAGTAATCATAGCTAGTGTAGTAATGTTATCACAGGCAAAAAGGACAAAACTCGCTAGGTTAGTAACGGAAATTCGTGAAACTTTCGCCGTCTGGAGTTTAAATTAATAATTTCGCAAAAAATTTGAGATAGAGAATTTGCATTCACATTCTGATGGAGAACAATGTAAACCAGAAACGAAGCACTAGCAAAAATAGTTAGTACATAACTAAATAAAAAAAAGACATTATTTTTTAATTGAAATGTATATTTAAAAACAATAAATTTCGAGACGCGTTCAGCATCGTTATTTTAGATCAAAATTACTGCTTAATTCGATAGTGTTTTCATATATACTGCACATCAGGCTGTCAAACTCGCGACCCACGAGCCCCATGCGGCCTTTCGTTCATTTTTCTACGACCCTTAATTCACCCAGAGAAAGCACCAAAAATTATATAATTATAATACATCAATAAAAGCTGGAATTTCAACCCACAACGAAGCGTATGTACAACCTAGGATGCTAAAAAGAACACATGAGATAGTCTCTTTACAAATGCAGTTTTTCTGTCAACGTTAAGAAAGTTTACTTTTATTTACAATTTTACTAACAGAATTAACAGAAATTCCGTGCCTCTCAACTATAAAGTAAATATGCAGTGAAATAAAACTAATTACTACAAAAATTCGCGTATCGAAAATCTCATGAATGCCTACCTAATGCCTGCATAATTTCATGGTACGTAATTTTCCTTTTCGTGAGTTCATTTTTGTGAGTATGAACTTTTCTCACTTAGAAAAACCCCTACAGGATACATGTAAACAGACATTCATCTGACTTTTGAAAACCGCTGACCCAGCAGCAGATTTCCACACATCTAAAAGTTAGTTGCAGGAAAAAGATACCAAGTAATGGGAAAGATATATTAAATATCATTCTACTAGCAGAATTTCCTTATCTTTCTTTTACCTTTTGAAGAGTTGCGGTATCAGGTAAGATTTTATGCATTTACTCAACATTAACATTATTAAGTTTGAAAATGGCCTCTTTCCCCTTGTGGCCCGCATTGTTTAAAATCATGATTATTTGACTCACAAGAGGTACTGAGTTACATGGTACTGAGTTGCAATTTTTCTTTTATTCTAGAAGTACAACGAAAGCTAACGTAATTCAGATTGTAAACTTTTAGTCTGGATTTTGGAGCAGAATTATTTTGTAGTGTATTTTTGCTGAACTTCTAACTATATAATAAATTACCGCATTCCTGCGTGCGAGCTCTCTTTAGTCAGCAGTCCAGGTAGCAACTAGAAGAACTATATTTCGAGTCCCAGCAGGTACCTAAGCCCACCAGCGTCCGAGTTGTCAAGTCGCTAAAAACTGGTAGTTCGGTCCGGAATCCGAATCCCGGCGAACGGGCTGGCTACATGGATGTTTTTCGTGGTTTTCCCCAAACGAGCCAGTATACGAGGTGTATATGAGCCAGTTTCCCTTAGAAAATCCTCCACGAAGGCATCCCTTCCCTGCCCAACTCCAGCAAGTACACTGTTGATTTGTCACATTTTCTGCTCTGAATATTCGAGTGGTCTCCAAAGTGGCACCCAAAATGTAGCCGACGAAAAATTGTCATCCCTTCGATTTGGTTGATTAGGTCAAATTTTGGTTGACTGGGAATTGAGTTTTTACTCAGTCGCTCTTTAAACAGGGAAAAATATAAGAAAATATCTCATTTCGCCGTGCTTTCTCCTGTGATGTTGCTAAAACGTTTAGTTAACAAGTGAAAGGTACATAGTTCGACTCCTGGGGAACACAGTTGATTTTTCAAGCTTCTTACTTCGAAATAAGTAATAGTCTCTAGAGAAAAAAAGCAGGGTAAATGTTATTTAAATTATAATTTAACATTTATAGCAGGAATTAAAATACAAGAGGAAAACTCCGAAGCGGAAGTTTTCCATATTCGAAAAAAAAAATTCTAATTTTAGCGAAATTTTACAAAACCCCTAAAGTTCGAGAAAATAATCGCAGGAAATCGTGACAATAAAGATACTGCCCTAATAACAATAAACAGATGTCTTAAATATTGCATTTTAGCAACTAAACTCCAATTAACTGAAGATCGTTTTAATAAGCTCTAGTATCAGCAACTTTATTGCTGAGAATGCTCAAGTTTATTAATGACAGATATCTAATATTGGGCTAAATAATAACGCTTAAGGGAAACTGACTCACCTGTTCATTCTTGTCACCTTTGTACCAAACAATAAATACAATCTATTAAATTATGTAAAATCTGAAACAAATCATAATACAGGATGCAGGAAATACCATTTATTACACTTTCATTTTAAACTGACGAAGTAGGAACAGAGCCATAAAAACCGAAAATGTCTTCTATAAGGATATAATAAAACAAGATCACCTACATATTATACAAAAACTCATCTTAGTGCATTAAGTTATTACATAAGCGATATAATTAAACCTGAATTAATAGTAGTTCGCATTGACAAAGTGCTAAAACTTTGTCTAACAATCTACATTTTCGAATAATTTCTGTCCTTCACTTCTTACAGGGGAGGAGGGAGAAAAGAAAGAAATCAAACACATGGGGGGGTAGGAATCGGTATCTTTGCCGTTTCTTTCTAACCAAAACAACAATTTAGAGTCACGAATCTGGCAGCAGAAGTCAGCACCCCCTACTGGCAAACGAGGCCACTTTTCTAGGACGGCAAAGCAAATGAACTGCAAATAACAGGGCTTGCAATGTTTGCTCCCAAACTGGCTTCAACACTCTTAAATCACGTTTTAGATTCGAGAAGTAAGTATGTGGGGCATCGGTAATGTCAAAATGGTAGGTTTCGCCTTTTTTCGGTCTTTTATATTTTTTTATTGGACCACTTTAGACTAAAATAAAGAGGATATTGCTTGGATAGATTTTCTTTAAGTTTTAGCTCGAATCTTTTGATGGCCATTTTATCCTATTTCCTTCCTCATTCTTTGCTTTGATTGATAAACGTTCAGTGTCTGACTAATAGCTACTTAAGTAAGTGACATAACGTATGATAAATAAATATCTCTAACTGCGTATTAAAACATAAACTTCTTATTTAAAGAAATATGTTTGTGGAGTGTTGGGATTGTAGAAATTTTATTTGTGATGCTAGTAGAATGAAATATTAAACTATTTGCCAAATTTATAAAACTGCCTTATGTCATATAAAACTTATCAATGTTTTGGCGCTCACTGTTTTAAACTTTTACTCACATATTTATTTTATCGCATATCGAGATAATCTTATGGTAATCACGAATCCGAGAAAATAATGAAACTAAACTAGTTAAAAATTAAAGTAATGTACAGTTAAAAAAAATTCAAAGTGCTTTTTAAAATGGTTATTCTAAATTAAAGAAAATTCAAGTAATTGTTAATAAATACTGACTATAAATTTATGCTTTCGAAAAGCTGTTGGAAACTCGTATCTTACATGGACAAAATTATGAATTTTTTCATAACTTTATTAATATTATGTTTTGCGTTCTGATTGAGTAACTGAACTTACTTTTGCCAGCTAACATTTTCAAGAAAAACAAAAAAAACACAGACAAAGATTTCATTTCGATAACAGATCAAATCCTGAACTCTTCATTTACCAGCTGTTGCGTGCATTGCATCAATTAAGCTACCGATTATTTTTGTAACTTATTTACCTTCTTTCATCCCTGTATATAGTTCCTATCTTAAACGCAAGGGCAGAGTGCTTTTGTATGTCTGTTTTACTTAGTTCAAATATTCACTAAGTTCTGCATGAAGAGCCCCCATCCAAAAGATCTCAAGGGCAAATATATTTTGGTTGTGATGTACAGGTCATTAAGTTTGCCTAAGCTGCGTTCTCTGGGATTCGAACTCCGGATCTCCCGACTGTCAGCCGGACTTGTTTCCAATTACACTTATGAAGGCAAGTAGAAGGAGGGGAGAAAATACATTATATTTGAACATGTGTAAGTAGACTGATGGTTTCAGTTTATTAAGCGGATAAATTAAGATAGGCCTTCAGACCGGCACATCTTACGTTTTAGCACAAATGTATGAAAAATTAGATTTTTATTCGACTCCGTAAATCAAATCTTAATGAGGAAAACGTTTGCCACCGAAGAATCTGTCAAAATATGAAGGGGAGAGAAGCGTCCATTGTCAATAAATCAAACTTACACAGCATATTAATATTGCTAAGGTTTCGGAGTATTAAGGTTTCGGAGGAGAATTTTTGAAAATTTCCTTTACTTTTAGAAAGATTTAAGAAGAAGCACCGATTTTCCTAATTACCAATTACAGAATTTATAGAAATAAAAATTTTTTAATCCTTTGGCGGTTGCGAGATTAGGCATTTTTTTTCCTTCCCAAATACGCAAGACATCTGTCAGTAGTAAATTGGTAATATGAGCTGTGTTCCTTTGTGCCCACTGCTGCGCGAACCTGGAATGAGAGCTGAGCTCGTTGAGAATCATCAAAAGATTAATGAAGGTCAGTTTTTATGCCCCTAAAATGATATTTCTTGCCGTTGTTTAAATACAGTGAAAATGGTTTATGTCACTACTCCCGAAAGCTCATCTCAGGACAATTTTGACTATTTGACCCAGCTCTCTGGAAGGTATGAGTATTTTTTTGAAGAATATTTTAACTGAAACTTTATTAGCAATGTACAAAAATTAATTTAATATATTTTTAATAAATTTACCTCGCAATCAAAATTATTCAGCCCGAAGGCCATTCGTTAAAGAATCAAATAATATTGAGATTGATCAAAATTAATGTAACCTGAATATTACTCGATTCATTCTTTACATATAAACCCTGGCTCCATGGCCAGAAGTTTAACAAATATTTAGTTGTTCAACCTTTTCTAAACAATATGTATACAGAAATCACTTATAAAATTTAATGCTTTGGAAGTGTTTCAATTTTTACATTGTCTTGCCCATTATGCTCATTGTTATGATGTAACATACTGCATGCATGTTTAATGTATTATACACTCGATGCAAAAATTAAGAATTTTCGGTCTTCCTGACGCTTGATCTAAGATTTTTGTTCACTGCTTAGCGAAAATGTTATCCGAATTTCTGGCTATGTAAACGCCTTGTAAAAACTTTTAATAGCAAATATTACACATACAAGCGTAGTTAAACAATTTCATCAGCAATTTTGCTAACCCTGATTTCATTCTCACTTTCCTCATTATTTCGAGTTTCGATTTATGTGCAGTTTTTGACATGCACAAACCTTTTCATCGTAAATATATAGCTATAAAATTTGTTCAATTTTTGAAGTTTGGTAAAATTTAATTAAAATTAAGAGCTATTCATTGAAAATTTTGCGTCTCTAAATTATACAATTTTTTTTTAATTCTGCTTTTTTTAATTTTAAAGAATTAAATGAAGTTTGAAATGTTTGAAAGAAAATTCCAATATCGAATTATTAGCAATCTATTAGAGTAAATAAATGTCAAAACACAAGAGTATATTAAGTCACTCGTACGAAAGAATAATAACAATTCTATAATAAGTCACTTCCAGCTAAACATATTTAAGAATTCGTATGGTATCTATCTGCACTTCTTGCTAACATGTACTTAAAAAGTTTAAAATTTTCACACAAAAAGCTTGTAATTTTTTCAGGTTTAGGTTTTGAACTTAAAAGTGTAAATATGCACCAAAATATTAATCACATTCACTTAATGAATAACGTTCGTTAGAATTTCGCTATAAGAGTGTTTGAACGCTAAAATTAAGCGAAAGATAAAATTATGAAATAATTTCAAAATTTGTAACAAGTTTATCAGATTAATTTATTTTATGGATTTAATGAGATAATTATAAAACTAAAATTACTTTATTTTATGCGTTGGAGGTTTAATTGCCAAATTATTAGTTTAAGTAATAATAACTTAACTGCAATATTAGCGAGGCTTTACTACAGTAGACTTTGCACCGCAAAGAAAGTTTTAGTTTAGCTTAAAGCACGTGGCCTTTGATCGACCTTCAAACTATTTTGATCTCGTTAAGTTTGTTAAGAGTGCTTACATTTTGTTTTACGTATTTAATTGTGTATACTTAGATTTTTGTGAATAGTAATTTGTCTGCAGTTTACGACTACACACAAACTACTGTTTTTCATAACTGAGATTTATTTGCCTTCGCAAGCCTCCTCTGTGCAACACCGGATATAACTGATGTTTTAAAATTTAAAAATAAAATTGTAATTAATAAACAAAATAAGAAATTCTTAGGTAATACAATAGGTATCTCTGAGAAGCAAGACAAAGACTTCTTATAGCCGCATGTGAATTCTTTCGAAATTTTAATGAGTATGCTAACTAAACTGTCCTGATACGGTTAAAGTTTCCACAATGAAAAATTCA